CAACCAAACCAAACCCAACCCAACCAAACCCAACCAAACCCAACCAAACCCAACCAAACCAAACCAAACCAGACCAAACCCAACCCAACCAAACCCAACCAAACCCAACCAAACCCAACCAAACCCAACCAAACCAGACCAACCAAGGCTGTTTCTCCCTTGTCCAGGTTTGTGAGCATCAGTGACCTGTTTGCACCGACCGACCCGGGAACCGAGAGCCAGGTGAGTGAGGGCCGGGCAGGGCAGGGCAGGGATGGGCTCCAGCTCCAGCTCCAGCTCCAGCTCGGGGCTCCAACGCCGCCTCTGCCTCTGCCTCTGCTTGCAGATCTTCATCTCGCGCACCTACGACGCCACCACCCACTTTGAGACGACGTGTGACGACATCAAAGATATTTATAAGAGGATGATGGGATCAGAGTTCGACTTCGAGGAGATGAAACGCAAGAAGAACGACATCTACGGGGAGGAGGAGCAGCAGTAATGAGAGTCTCTAATTAGGAGAAGTTTAAATCGGCTAATATGAATATATAAGGAACTTAATGAACACTGTACGAAATTCAATATTGTAAGGCCTGCTTTTGTAATCCCATCTCTGAGAGATTGAAGAGTACTGCACTGGTAATGTTCCCTTTTTGGATATCATGTGTTAATTATTTCATTCTAGTAGGGCTGCTGTCCAGAATCTGGCAAATTCCTGACTGATATTCCTGACTAACCTCGTAAGCAGAAAGGCAGACTGAACTTACTCTCGTTATTATTATTTTTGCAGACGTAGACGTGGGTGCAGATTTGAAATAACTCATTGACAGCTGTGTCTTACCTTGTCTTTTTAATCATTTGTAAAACATCCTTCACAATCCTGTGCTTCTGGTGAGCTCGTAGATGTGACGCTGATGTCACTCAAACCTGATATCAAGGAAAATAGAAACTGAGCACTCCATTATTGTGGACAGCATCCCTAAAAGTCTCTCCCATCAATCTTAACTCTGTGGCAAAGTTGTATCATGGACAAAGCCCACACCTATTGTAGCAGCAAATGTTGGCTTCGTTCTGGGCACAGAACTTAACCTCCACTTAAGCTTCTAAACCCGTTTCCATCGGTTGGGACACAGCTGTGCCTCAGGCTCCTTTGTGTTTTAATCTTAATAAAATTGAGAGAACAAATTACAGAGCAGGCAAGATGTGGAAGTATTTTCTGTCCCCCGGCGGCTTCTCGGATGGACCAAACGGCGCTGCGGTATCGGCATGACAGAGCCTGTGCTTCTCGTGTCTCCTGAAGGCTCCAAATGATTTCTGTACTGCGAAGTAAAGCCAAATTCTGGAAACCAGTCCTGGCCTCTGGTCTGATTCACTTCAGTTCTGGGAGCAGCAGCTCCAGGCTGAGACCCTGCGGCCTCTCTGCCTGCCAGGGCTGAGACGGGAGCGTTCCCTGCAGGGAGGCATTCCCTGATTCTATGGGAGTGTTCCCTGGTTCATGGGAGCATTCCCTGGTTCATGGGAGCATTCCCTGGTTCATGGGAGCATTCCCTGGTTCATGGGAGCATTCCCTGGTTCCATGGGAGCATTTCCTGGTTCCATGGGTGTGTTCCCTGCAGGAAGGCATTCCCTGGTTCCGTGGGAGCATTCCCTGGTTCTGTGGGAGTGTTTCCTGCAGGAAGGCATTCCCTGGTTCCGTGGGAGCATTCCCGGTTCATGGGAGGGTTCCCTGGTTCTGTGGGAGCATTCCCTGGTTCCGTGGGAGCATTCCCTGGTTCTATGGGAGCGATTCCTGCAGGAAGGCATTCCCTGGTCCATGGGAGCGTTCCCTGGTCCATGGGAGTGTGTGTTTCCTGCAGGAAGGCATTCCCTGGTTCTGTGGGAGCATTCCCTGCTTCATGGGAGCATTCCCTGGTTCATGGGAGCATCTCCTGGTTCTGTGGGAGTGTGTGTTTCCTGCAGGAAGGCATTCCCTGGGTCCGTGGTTCTTTCCAGCCTGTGCTGCTCTGGCTCCGT